CTATAGTTAATCTGATAGTTAATCTGAGATGATGACTATAGTTAATCTGAGATGATGACTATAGTTAATAATCTGAGATGATGACTATAGTTAATCTGAGATGATGACTATAGTTAATCTGAGATGATGACTATAGTTAATAATCTGAGATGATGACTATAGTTAATCTGAGATGATGACTATAGTTAATCTGAGATGATGACTATAGTTAATAATCTGAGATGATGACTATAGTTAATCTGAGATGATGACTATAGTTAATCTGAAATGATGACTATAGTTAATCTGAAATGATGACTATAGTTAATCTGAAATGATGACTATAGTTAATCTGAGATGATGACTATAGTTAATAATCTGAGATGATGACTATAGTTAATCTGATGATGACTATAGTTAATCTGAGATGATGACTATAGTTAATCTGAGATGATGACTTTAGTTAATCTGAGATGATGACTATAGTTAATCTGAGATGATGACTATAGTTAATCTGAGATGATGACTTTAGTTAATCTGAGATGATGACTATAGTTAATCTGAGATGATGACTATAGTTAATCTGAGATGATGACAATAGTTAATCTGAGATGATGACTATAGTTAATCTGAGATGATGACTATAGTTAATCTGAGATGATGACTATAGTTATTCTGAGATGATGACTATAGTTAATAATCTGAGATGATGACTATAGTTAATCTGAGATGATGACTATAGTTAATAATCTGAGATGATGACTATAGTTAATAATCTGAGATGATGACTATAGTTAATCTGAAATGATGACTATAGTTAATCTGAAATGATGACTATAGTTAATCTGAAATGATGACTATAGTTAATCTGAGATGATGACTATAGTTAATAATCTGAGATGATGACTATAGTTAATCTGATAGTTAATCTGAGATGATGACTATAGTTAATCTGAGATGATGACTATAGTTAATCTGAGATGATGACTTTAGTTAATCTGAGATGATGACTATAGTTAATCTGAGATGATGACTATAGTTAATCTGAGATGATGACTTTAGTTAATCTGAGATGATGACTATAGTTAATAATCTGAGATGATGACTATAGTTAATCTGAGATGATGACTATAGTTAATCTGAAATGATGACTATAGTTAATCTGAAATGATGACTATAGTTAATCTGAAATGATGACTATAGTTAATCTGAGATGATGACTATAGTTAATAATCTGAGATGATGACTATAGTTAATCTGATAGTTAATCTGAGATGATGACTATAGTTAATCTGAGATGATGACTATAGTTATTCTGAGATGATGACTTTAGTTAATCTGAGATGATGACTATAGTTAATCTGAGATGATGACTATAGTTAATCTGAGATGATGACTTTAGTTAATCTGAGATGATGACTATAGTTAATCTGAGATGATGACTATAGTTAATCTGAGATGATGACAATAGTTAATCTGAGATGATGACTATAGTTAATCTGAGATGATGACTATAGTTAATCTGAGATGATGACTATAGTTATTCTGAGATGATGACTATAGTTAATATGTGACTGATTAACTATAGTTAATTGAAAACATGGGGTATTCTTTAGCTTCTTTTTAATAGTTAAACATAGGGCACAAGCTATTTATTATTCATCTCAGCATCCTCACGACTATATTTCCCATGTGCATAGGTGGATCCAGAGGGGGGTGCAGAGGTGTGGACCCCCTTTTTTGTCCTGAAAGTTTTATATATCATAGGCGGATCCATTTGGCTTCAGGCAAAAATGAACTGGTGCACCCCCTACCCTAGTGTTCTCAAAAAGCTGTATCCGCCCCTGCATGTGGGTAAAAAATCAGCACATAATTACAAAATGGACAAGGTGTGGTACATATTTAAACGCCAGTCAAGTTAAAATTGTTTAATTTAAATAAATTCATATAAATTTAATCATACAACACTAACACTTCAGGTTGCCGTATCTTTCTGTCAAATCACCCCTCTTTCGATTGGGCATGTGTGCAAAATATGCATTATGTCGGAAAGCGCATGTTAAATCTCCAAATCATCATAAATTTGTTCTTGAGATCACATGGTGGAAAACAAACTTGGTTCAAATATCATTGAGACTTCGATGTCCTCAGGCATGTGGAACGTTACACATTTTACTAATGAATGCACGAAAGGTCTGATGGTAAGCAGGTTATCACTGTGAACTACAGCCAACATTTTGACCTGTTTAGATAACACAATCAAAACACACTTCATGCTGTCATCGGTATGGTATTATCAAACTTGTGTACTGCTGTCAATAGGTGTAGGGAAAAAGAAGCGTGTCAATGATTTATTATATTGATAAGTAGCTCACCTGCCTTCACCTGCTGACTGAAAATGAAGTAAGCTTGTAGCACATTGTCTGGATGTCTGTCATTTAACTGATATATCTGGTAAAAAACTACATTGTTCAAAGAGTTGAAATTGTTGAAGGGATTCCCTTTATTTTATCAATACTATTTGCAATGGCAACCATATTGAAAATGATATTTTAGCCTATTGCCTAGCCATTTCTAAATTCCAATACTTCATACAAGTTGTTGATTAAATATGTGCACCGCCTCGTGGTGTAGTGGTTAGAGCATCCGCCCGGAGAGCGGAAGGTTTGGGTTCGATCCCCGACCGAAAGACGTTAAAATATGGTACTTGTTGGTCCCTGCCTGGGGCTCGGCATTAATGGGTACAACAAGGACTGGTCGGCTCAGAGTCCGTATAATGTGACTGAGTGGGGTATTCTTGCTTCACTGCGGCATGGTATCTCAGTGAGCTAGCTCTAAAAACCAGCTTCAGTCTGGGCTAGTACAAGCAGCCACACATACACATACACAATCATGCACGTCATCATATGAGCGAAATATTCTCAAGCACGACGTTAAACCCAATTTCACATCACCACACCTAAATATGTGCAATGGTTTGAATTAGTATGTGAACATAAAATATGATGTCTCAAAGATTCCGTTCTAATTTTAATCATTTCGGTAAGGAGATATGCAGCAGCGAATAGATTTTTAACTGTTCGCGATAACGCAATCAAAACACACACTTCATGATGTGTTATCATTAACTTGAGTACAAATGTCAACAGGTGTGGAGCAATAGAAGCGTGTTGATTTCACTCATGGTCTATTGATTAATTACCGTAGCTCACCTGCTAATTGAAACTCCTATTTGGGATTTTGTAACAGCATAAACCATGTAGTAATTGTGTGACATCCGATAACTTGAAATGACCTTACATATAGATGTATAAATCCCATCTCAACACCATTGGTATGATAGCACGAATAACTGCTCTTGTTAAACATTAGACTTAAGGAATACACTCATTAGGTTGGACAGATCACTCTAGTTGAACATGCTGTAACAATCAGATGATTTGGGTTGTTTTGTTTTTTTATGTTTTTTTTTTTTGTTTTTGTTTTTTTGGGGTGGGTTGGGGGGGGAGTATCATCATACTGTTGTTGCTGAAATCTTGATATTGTGTTGTGAATTTTCGTCTCTAGGTAGACATAGTTAGTCCATGTGTTTTGTCATTCATTTTCTTTTACCTTTTCTGTATTTTCCAAAAATACTAAAATCATTTCAAATGTAAAAATGTCAGCATTAAACTATGTTGAAAAAATTAAACATAAATAAATCCATTTAACAAAACTTTGACGTGTTTAAGAGTTTACTTGGGTGGTACCACAGAAAAGACATAAGAGGTTATAAATGAAGGAAGTCTGTCATTATTGATTAGGCCAGATATTATGTAAACCAGACCTGGTTGATACTTTCTTCTAGGTGGATTATTATATCATATAGGTCAATATGAACATCATCTACATAGAAATATATAATTTCAAAGTATATGAATTCATGGTGTACCACTTATTCATTTTTCAGATTTGCACCAGACTGGTGGCACATGTCATCTCCTGGTGGCTCTTGTTCAATTATTGCCTCAGAGCCATAAAACTCTATGACAACAAAAATCAATTAGTCTGGCCATAGAATGATATTTTATACCGGCAGGTGTTTGTAAAGATATGTTCACAGGTATATATAGCCAGACCCAAATGTGCAGCAAATGTACAACTTCTGACTGCATGTTGATATAAAGGGATGGTCTGGTCAGGGTGATTTGTATATACCTTATAACAGAACTACTAAAACTGGTATTAATGCAATGATATTAAAAATAGTTTTACGTTATTGCATTTTATGCAGTGTTCAAATACAAAGTTAAAATACAGTGTTAAAATTCCTCTGAAACAAAAAAAATAAGAAGCATTTGAAATTCCAATTTTGAATGAAATACTGTGCCTTCCCAATTTACTTGGTGCATTTAGCAAGACATGATACCCTCAAAGATCTGGGCTATAATTGGTCTTCAACAACCCATGTTTGTCGAGGCAAGTAACGGATTGGGTGGTCAGTCCGGCTGACTTGGTGGACACATGTCATCGTATCCCAATTGCACAGATTGATGCTGTTGTTGATCACTGGATTGTCTGGTCCAGACTTCATTATTTTCAAACCATGACCATTTTGCTAGAATATTGCTGAGTACGGCATTAAACATGTTAAACGTCAAACAAACAAACAAATAGCAAGACATGAAGTTAGTGAGTGAGCCCAGTGTTTATCTTTGCGTTAACCGGCAGACTAAATCCTCAGTTTGATGTGATATAACTTATGAAAGGGATTAACATTTATTACCACTACGAATGGTGTTAACAAACCAACAATGAGAGGTCAGGGCTAATCTTGAACCCGCTTGTGGTGTGATTGGTGTGTACCCCACACACAGCATCAGCTGATACACTGTATGTTTGTTTCAACTGTATGTGGATGTCATGTCTTCAGTGAGAAGTAAGCCCTAGCCACAAGTCTTCACTGTTACTGCTTGAACCGATCTATATGTTCGATTTCTGCATTCCTCACCTTTCTTAATACTTTACTCTCTGTTTTTAAGGGAGTGTAATGGCCACTTGCTGCAGAATGGTAAGGTGCACCAGAATGGTTCTGTCCAGCACGAAGTATCGGTTACAGAGACCGAAGAGAAGGAGAAAACAAGGAAGTCTTCTAAGGTGGGATACAGACCAGGGGCCTGTTTCACAAAGCGATCGTAGCGTTATGATTGTCATGTTAGTCAATGTTAAAGTATGGGAGTTAAGATCACCTTAGTCGTATGATTGCTTGGTGAAACAGGGCCCTGCCCTGGCGAGGTAGGAGAAACCAGTGTATTAATGAGGATTTGTTTCAAATATAATGTGTTCAAAGAGTAAATAATGTCAGTAATCTTTATGATACATTGAGAAATTTATGCATTACACTGATGCTTTATGAAGAGGTATTCACTTTTCTTTTGTAATCGTCATATGATAAGCCCAAGAATTTTTGTAACAACATAACTTTAAATTTAGACGTTAATGAACAATAATGTTTTCAGGTAGTGAAGCGTCCCCACATCACGGAGAAGGTGGTATTTGTGGTGTCCGTGGCAACTGTCAGCTTTTTAACACACTGCGTCATCTCTGCTCAGTACCTCATCCCGTACTTCTACTCCATCACAGCTCCGATACTGCTGCTGATACGGTGTATCATGTACTGGTGAGTTCCCCTCCCTTCTCTCTGAGTCGCAATATCCCATTTCTAGTAGTACCCTCTCAGTCTGTCCCAGTATCTTATTGTAACCTCCCCACCCTACTCAGTCTAGTTCCCCTCCCTTCTAGTACCCTCTCAGTCTGTCCCAGTATCTTATTGTAACCTCCCCCACCCTACTCAGTCTAGTCCCCCTCCCTTCTAGTACCCTCTCAGTCTGAGTCGCAATATCCCATTGTAACCTCCCCACCCTACTCCAGTCTAGTCCCTCCCTTCTAGTACCCTCTCAGTCTGTCCCAGTATCCCATTGTAACCTCCCCACCCTACTCAGTCTAGTCCCTCCCTTCTCTCAGTCTGAGTCGCAATAGTCCTATTGTAACCTCCCCACCCTACCTCCAGTCTAGTTCCCTCCCTTCTAGTACCCCCTCTCAGTCTGAGTCAATATCCCATTGTAACCTCCCCCACCCTACTCAGTCTAGTTCCTCCCTCTAGTACCCTCTCCCTCATATCCTGTTGTAACCTCCCCCACCCTACTCAGTCTAGTTCCCTCCCTTCTAGTACCTCTCTCAGTCTGTACTCAGTATCCTATTGTAACCTCCCCACCCTACTCAGTCTAGTTCCTCCCTTCTAGTACCCCTCAGTCTGAGTCCCAGTATCTCTCCATTGTAACCTCACCCACCCTCCAGTCTAGTCTCCCTTGTAGTACCCTCCCCACTCTCCCACCAGTCCCTCCCACCATCATGCAGTTCCTCATTCCTGGCCCCTTCCCACCTCCTAGCCAGGTACATCATCAAGGACTGGTCAGTCCAGTCCCCTTCCTTGTAGTACCCTGCCCCCACCCTCTCTCAGTCTAGTCCCCTCCCATTCATACATCCGTGATGTTCCTTCTCATTCCCAGTATCCTTCCCACCTCTAGCCAATGTAATTCCCCCACCTGGTCAGTCCTAGTCCCTCCCTTGTAGTAACCCTCCCCCACCCCATGTTCCTGCCTAGTCCCCTCCCCTTGTAGTACATCCATCATCTCTCTAAGTTCCTTCCCTCCCACTCACAAGCATCATCATGAAGTTCCTCATCCCTCCTCCCACCTCTAGCCAGTACATCCAAGGACTGGTCCCTCCCTCAGTCTAGTCCTCCCCTCTTGTAGTACCCTCCCCCCACTCCCTCTCAGTCTAGTCCCTCCCCACCCTCATACATCAGCGTCCCACTCCCCTTCCCTTCCCACCTCTAGCCAGTACATCAAGGACTGGTCGTCTAGTCCCTCCCTTGTAGTACCCTCTACCCCTCTCAGTCTAGTCCCTCCCACTCATACATCATGAAGTTCCTTCTCCGTTCCGTCCTTCCCACCTCCTAGCCAGTACATCAAGGGACTGGTCAGTCCTAGTCCCTCCCCTTGTAGTACCCTCCCCCACCCTCTCTCAGTCTAGTCCTCCCCACTCATACATCATGAAGTTCCTTCTCATCCTGTCCTTCCCCACCTCTAGCCAGTACATCAAGGACCGGTCGTCCAGTCCTCCCCTTGTCCCTCCCCACCCTAGTACCCTCCCCCACCTCTCAGTCCTAGTCCCTCCCACTCATACATCATGAAGTTCCTTCTCATTCTGTCCCTTCCCCACCTCTAGCCAGCACATCAAGGACTGGCCAGTCAGTCCTCCCCTTGTAGTACCCTCCCCAGTCCAGTCCTCCCACAGTCCTTCCACCTCAGTCCTCCTCCCCACTCATATCATCAATACCCCAGTTCCCTTCTCATCCCTGTCCCTTCCCCCACCTCTAGCTAGCCACCCTGTGCATTCCCCACCCTCCCCATTCTGGGACTGGTCAGTCCCTAGTCCCTCCCTTTGTAGTACCCTCCCCACCCTGCTCTCAGCTCTAGTCCCTCCTATTCATACATCATGAAGTTCCTTCTCATCCTGTCCCTTCCCCTAATCTCCAGTACTTCAAGCGACTGGTCCGTCCAGTCCCTCCCTTTGTAGTAATTCCTCCCCACCCTCTCTAGTCTAGTCCTCCCACTCATACATCATGAAGTTCCTTCTCATTCTGTCCTTTCCCACCTCTAGCTCAGTACATCATGACTGGTCAGTCCAGTCCCCTCCCTTGTGTACCCTCCCCACCTGCTCTCAGTCTAGTCCCTCCCACTCATACATCATGAAGTTCCTTTCTCATTCTGTCCCTTCCCACCTCTAACCAGTACATCAAGGACCGGTCCGCCCAGTCCCTCCCTTGTAGTAATTCTCCCCCACCCTGTCTAGTCCCTCCCACTCATACATCAAGTTCCTTCATTCTGTCCCTTCCCACCTCTAACCAGTACATCAAGGGGACTGGTCCCCCTCCCTTGTAGTACCCTCCCCCACCCCTCTCAGTCTAGTCCCCTCCCACCTCATACATCAGATTCTTCTCATTCTTGTCCTTCCCACCTCTAGCCAGTACATCAAGGACTGGTCGCCTAGTCCCCCTCCCTTTGTAGTACCCTCCCCCACCCTCCTCAGTCTAGTCCCTCCCACTCATACATCATGAAGTTCCTTCTCATTCCCTCCCTTCCCACCTCTAGCCAGTACATCAAGGACTGGTCAGTCTAGTCCCTCCCTTGTAAATTCTCCCCCACCCTGCCTCAGTCTAGTCCCTCCCACTCATATATATCATGAAGTTCCTTTCTCATTCCTGTCCTTCCCACCTCTAGCTAGTACATCAAGGACTGGCTCAGCCCAGTCCCTCCCTTGTAGTAATTCTCCCCACCCTCTCAGTCCTAGTCCTCCCCATTCATACATCATGAAGTTCCTTCTCATTCTGTCCCTTCCCACCTCTAGCCAGTACATCACCCCTCTCTACTCTAGTCCCCCACCCACCACCATCAGTTCCTTCATTCCCTTCCCACCTCTAGTCCCCTCCCCCAGTCCCTCCTCCCCTCCCCCCCACCCTGCTCAGTCTAGTCCCTCCCACTCATACATCATGAAGTTCCTTCTCATTCCTGTCCCTTCCCACCTCTAGCCAGTACATCAAGGACTGGTCAGTCTAGTCCCCCTCCCTTGTAGTACCCTCCCCACACCCTCTCTCAGTCTAGTCCCTCCCACTCATACATCATGAAGTTCCTTCTCATTCTGTCCCTTCCCACCTCTAGCCAGTACATCAAGGACTGGTCAGTCTAGTCCTCTCCCTTGTAGTACCCTCCCCCACCCCTCTCAGTCTAGTCCCTCCCCACTCATACATCATGAAGTTCCTTCTCATTCTGTCCTTTCCCACCTCTAGCCAGTACATCAAGGACTGGTCAGTCTAGTCCCCTCCCTTGTAGTACCCTCCCCCACCCCTCTCAGTCTAGTCCCTCCCACTCATACATCATGAAGTTCCTTCTCATTCTGTCCCTTCCCACCTCTAGCCAGTACATCAAGGACTGGTCAGTCTAGTCCCTCCCTTGTAGTACCCTCCCCACCCCCTCTCAGTCTAGTCCCTCCCACTCATACATCATGAAGTTCCTTCTCATTCTGTCCCTTCCCACCTCTAGCCAGTACATCAAGGACTGGTCAGTCTAGTCCCTCCCTTGTAGTACCCTCCCCCACCCCTCTCAGTCTAGTCCCTCCCACTCATACATCATGAAGTTCCTTCTCATCCTGTCCTTCCCACCTCTAGCCAGTACATCAAGGACTGGTCAGTCTAGTCCCTCCCTTGTAGTACCCTCCCCCCACCCCCTCTCAGTCCTAGTCCCTCCCACTCATACATCATGAAGTTCCTTCTCATTCCGTCCCTTCCCACCTCTAGCCAGTACATCAAGGACTGGTCAGTCTAGTCCCTCCCTTGTAGTACCCTCCCCCACCCCTCTCAGTCTAGTCCCTCCCACTCATACATCATGAAGTTCCTTCTCATTCTGTCCCTTTCCCACCTCTAGCCAGTACATCAAGGGACTGGTCAGTCTAGTCCCTCCCTTGTAGTACCCTCTCCCCACCCCTCTCAGTCTAGTCCCTCCCACTCATACATCATGAAGTTCCTTCTCATCCTGTCCCTTCCCACCTCTAGCCAGTACTTCAAGGACTGGTCAGTCTAGTCCCTCCCTTGTAGTACCCTCCCCACCCCTCTCAGTCTAGTCCCCTCCCACTCATACATCATGAAGTTCCTTCTCATTCTGTCCCTTCCCACCTCTAGCCAGTACATCAAGGACTGGTCAGTCTAGTCCCCTCCCTTGTAGTACCCTCCCCCACCCCCTCTCAGTCTAGTCCCCCTCCCACTCATACATCATGAAGTTCCTTCTCATCCTGTCCCTTCCCACCTCTAGCCAGTACATCAAGGACTGGTCAGTCTGAGTCCCCTCCCCTTGTAGTACCCTCCCCCACCCCTCCTCAGTCTAGTCCCTCCCACTCATACATCATGAAGTTCCTTCTCATCCCGTCCCTTCCACCTCTAGCCAGTACATCAAGGACTGGTCAGTCTAGTCCCTCCCCTTGTAGTACCCTCCCCACCCCTCTCAGTCTAGTCCCCTCCCACTCATACATCATGAAGTTCCTTCTCATTCTGTCCCTTCCCACCTCTAGCCAGTACATCAAGGACTGGTCAGTCCTGCTGAACTCAAGTCAATAAATTATGACATCTGAAATGTCTTGCCCAATGGAGGGGCGGTGGGGTAGCCTAGTGGTTAAAGCGTTGGCTTGTCACGCTGAAAACCCGGGTTCGAATCCTCACATGGGTACATTGTGTGAAGCCCATTTTTGGTGTCCCCCCGCCGTGATGTTGCTGGAATTATAATTGCTAAAAGCAGCATAAAACCAAGTCAGTCAGTCAGTCAGTCTTGCCCAGTGGGCTAGTAAATATTTAATGGTGATAATGATTTTGTTCCCTGCTATGTACATCTGTCGACCTCAATCTCCAGCTGGTGAATTTTTTTATGGTGGCTAACAAATTTAAGGACCCTTTGTCAGTATGATTTGGAAATAATTTCACAAACTGATTTCATCGATTATGAATATGGTGTTCAATACCATGTGATGTGTTTATGAATATTTACCAGAGTTATTTTGCTTTACAGGTTTTGCAAATGGCAGTATTTTTTACTAGATTTCTGTTATTATGGAAACATCATGTGCTATGTGTTTATTTGGTAAGTACCTCTGACAAGTTAAGTTACCACCACTTTGAATGTTTTTATAAATTTCATTCATAAAATTTTATTTTTTTCAAGTTCAACAATTTCATGCTGAATGATAATTTCTGGAAGATCATTAAGACTATTTGGTTATAAAATGTAAAACTTATCTGACTTGTTTAACATCTCGCATTTTCTGAATTTGTGTTTAACTGTTCCGATACACAGAAGTCCTTGATGGTACACAATGCCTGAGTTTAAAGGTTGACAAAATTTTAGAAGTCGGGAAGTACAATACTAATTATTTAATGGATAACAACACATTTATGGATAACAAAGTTCTTTTAATTTGTGAATGTGACATTTTGGCCCAGTTTATTGTACTGCTGTCTTGCAGCAGAAACTGAACCGAAGCATCACACTCACAGAATAAAAGGACTTGTTATCCATAAATGTGTCGGTATTAAGATTGTGAACAAGTTGGTTGTTGAGGTTGTTTTGTACTGAAGATGGATTTTTGTTGTTTCCAGGGCGTTTCCCCAGCAGCCGCAATACTTCTGTGTTGTGTTTGCCCTGTCCAATGGCCCCATCATGTGGGCACTTCTCTTGTTCCGAAACTCACTCGTATTCCACAGCTTTGATAAAACTGTCTCCATTTATATCCACATCATGCCAGGACTGTTGTCTTTCACGTAAGTCTAGCAGCAGTACTTTTGTTTTATCTCACCATGTCACCTCCCCCTTTCAGTACAGTGGGCATTCAGTGTTCAGTAGTGTGGTATAAGAGAACAAGTTCAGGTTCAGCATGATAATTGTATGCTTGTCTATGTTTTTTCAGTAATCCCTCAATGTCAATTGGATGTCAATCTCAACGGCACATCATATTATCAATCTCAACTCTCTGGGGAGCAATTCTTGCAGCCACTAGGCGCACCAAGTTAATGTGGCTTTCCCACCCTTATGAGGTACCCATTCACAGCTGGGTGGACTGGGACATATAGTCACAGTATTTTGTCCAAGTTCACTGCACGTTGCTGTACCTGCAACTAGATGTTTGCACGTATTCATGTGGTCATCATCTGGTCATTTACCAACGGATTTGTGGGTTCTTTTAAGTGCTCCGGTTGTGTACTGTACACTAGGGGTTGTGACAACACTGAAACAGTCTGCACACAAAGTTGACTCCAAGGCTTTCATACCGGGTCACAGGTGGGCTCGATCCCGGCACCTGAAGTATGCTGAATCACTAGCCTCCATGTGAATGTCCACACCTAATGATGAGAGAAGGGACGTAACTGCATAGCTAGTGGTTGTACCTTTGGATTGTTTTTTTTTTTTAATGAGTCTCTCAGCAATTATCAAGCTATATAGGGGGCGTTGCGGGTAGCCTTGTGGTTAAAGCTTTCATTCATCACACGGAAGACCCAGGTTGTATTTTCTACATAGGTACAATGTGTGAAGCCCAAGTCTTGTGACCCGTCATGTTTCTGGAACATTGCTAAAAGCGGTGTAAAACCATACTTACTCATTCATTCACTCATTCATTCACAATCAAGCTATATGACAACAAGCTGTATAATCATCGGGACCAGACAATCCCGTGATTGTGAGCATCACAAGCATCGTTCCGCACAATGAAAATAAGATGATATGCAATTAACCATTTCAACGATTTGAGCCTGACCACCTAATCCACTTAATGGCCTTTCATGATGACCATTCATTTCTGGGAACCTGTAGTCTTACTTGGCCTGTGACCCCACAGTAACAATCTTCAGCAACCATGCTTGTTGTAACAGGTGAAATACGGCATCGGGTGGTCCGGCTTGCTGGCTTGGTTGACAGCTGTCATCGTATCCCAGTTGTGTAGATCAGTACTTGATTATTGGAATGTCTGGTCCAAATTCGATTATTTACAAATCGTTGCCATATATTGAAATATTGTTGAGTGCGGCTTTAAACAATAAACAATCCTAGAATAATTTGTGGGTGGTATTTCTTAATGTTCTCAAGTTACTGCTGCAGTGTAGCACAACTTCTGTCTCTGAAATCCTGAATAAATATGAAAAAAGTCTTTGAATGATTAGAAGATAAAGCTACTCTGTTTTCAATTTTGCGGTTCTTTATCGTTGCTTTAAGACATCTAATTGTAATTTAAAAACCAAACATGTTAGCGTGAGAGGTGACTTGTTGAGTCTGTTTACTGTAAATAATCTAATAATGTGACTATTGTCTGTTTCAGGATACGATGGTTCCCAGAAGAAACATCTAAGTTGTGGTACACGGGGGATGATGCCTAACTTTGCTGATTGGTCCTTAACATGGCTGATCGGCGTCCCGATGGGTTGCTACATGCTTCATGGTGTAAGTAGCAGGTCCACCTGTCACAGCAGCAAGCAGGTCCAGTTAAATCAGTTCATGAATGCCTTAATCAGTAGTCAAGGAGAGACAATCATGTCATGTGTCGGTGTCACACAGGTCATGTGTTGGTGTCACACATAGGTCATGTGTCGGTCACACACAGGATTTGTCTGTGTCACACATAGGTGATGTGTCGTGTCACACAGGTGATGTGTCGGTGTCACCCATAGGTGATGTGTCGGTGTCACACACAGGATTTGTCGGTGTCACACATAGGTCATGTGTCGGTGTCACACATAGGTGATGTGTCGGTGTCACATAGGTCATGTGTTGGTGTCACATATAGGTCATGTGTCAGTGTCACACATAGGTCATGTGTCGATGTCACGCACAGGTGATGTGTTGGTGTCACACAGGTGATGTGTCAGTGTCACACAAGTGATGTGTTGTGTCACGCAGGTGATGTGTCGATGTCACGCAAAGGTGATGTGTCGTGTCACACAGGTGATGTGTCGGTGTCATTAATAAGTGATGTGTCGGTGTCACACATAAGTGATGTGTCGGTGTCACCCATAGGTGATGTGTCGTGTCACACAGGTGATGTGTCGATGTCACGCAAAGGTGATGTGTCGTGTCACACAGGTGATGTGTCGGTGTCATTAATAAGTGATGTGTCGGTGGCACACATAGGTGATTTGTCGGTGTCACAGAGATCCTTTCAGTGTCTTTGGTCATGTAGACAATGCAGGATTCGAACCACAGACCTTCTGATCTGAAGGTGCTACAAAAGTACTGTGACGCAATATTTCCTAAGGAGACACGTCTTGAATGACAAGGTTTCATGACCCTGTTGAACAGATTTAATGTTATAATGTAATGAATCAGCTCACGTTTTGGACATCAACCCTTGATTATAATTTTTTATGAAACGTCACTATGAGACAAGTTAATGGCCGAGATAACGTTATTTACAGTCCATAAACAAGTGACCCTGAAGCATTTTTAATCCCAATGTATTTTGAGTGCCTGCTAAAATCTGGTTTCAATAAATCTTAAAATGTATCATGTTTCTTTTTCAGTTGTTTAACACGTTGCTGGTGCAAGTTATTTTTAAACCTCCACCAGAATATCAAACCATCTACCGCCTTCTCACAGCCAAAGAGAAGAGTTCAAGTTTCAAGTTGTTCGACTTGTGTGGACCAAAGTAAGCTCAGCCAGTGGACATCTAGGGTCTTTTGTCCATCTTGTCTTTTGACTCGATTATTTACAGACCGTCACCATATAGCTGTAATATTACCTGAGAAGGTCAAAGGTCAAGGCCACCACATACAAAACATGTTTTCAAACGTTATTCTTGCCTTTATAATGAGGCTTAGTATACACCTGGAGAGAGATCTGCTTTGAAAAGTCCAAGGTCAAGCTGAACATTGCAGGATATATTGCAGAAACCATGGTTAACCATGTCAACCATCTTATTTGCATGTATCTTTACAAATCCACGTTTTGGTAGTAGATGTATCAAGGGTTAAGGTCATTTTCGAAGTTATTGTTCCGAAGTATTCATCTCATGACAGTTACTTTGAAATGAATTAGTTCTGTTAGCACCCATCCAGGACTTGGATGAGGATATTTAAGAGTGAGAAGTTGACTTGGTTAACACTGAAGTGGTTGTTGTCAAAGTACAGACACCTCCAAGGCTCCCATATTCACAGCCCCAAACCGAAACTGTATGTATGTTCAACTGGTCAAGGTATTGTACATTTGGAAATATTCGTTACAGTGTATGCTCGTTTCATATATAACACAATCAAATGCATCTAATACAATGGTGTGACAGTTCCAATCAAGAAAAGGCACATTGCAGAATGGACTCACCCTAGGATACGTTTCTGTACTTTGACTTTGTTTAGGGTACATTTCTGAATACAGAAACATATATGGGGAACATATCTGTAGTACCTGTGCCATAACCCTAAAGTGAACAAGAACTCGTGTTAAGAGCCTCTTTCAGGCCAGTGGACTCCAAAGTGTTTTTGGCAATTTGGGGCACTGATGTTGTTAGATATCTCTAGTTGTATTGTAGATATGATTTCAATCAGGAAGGACCGAGGTAATTTTTTGCTATTTTTAGCAGTGTGCGAAATAGCCCGTGGCTAGTTAATCTCCAGTCAGGCGATTGAATCTCCACAGTCACTGGCCCGACTGCCTAGTGCATTTTCATGGGGTCATTTTGTAAATATATCACTCTCTCCGACTTGTTAAGTTATGATACACTGATAAAAATGCACATCATATTAGCAGCTTAATGATGAAACCCGTGTTATGCCGATAATATGTCATTCTTGTCTATTTTTGTAATCGTTTGCTCAGTTTCTACATTCAAATTTTGGGCTAGTGAATTATTTTGTGGGCTAGTAACTTTGAGGCATAGCTAGCCCAACTGGTTAGCAAAATGTGGAAACTATTTTGCACACTGGTGTGTATTTATCACAATAAAATTGAAGTGAGAAATTAATCAGTGAAGTGAATTATTGTTTCAGGCATCACTACCTCATGTACAAGCTGAGTTACATGGTCTTCTGTCTCCTGAGTGTGCTCTTTACCATCCTGTGGTACAACTTTTTCATCGCCCACTGCATCTTCCTCTCCTTCGTCGTGCTGAAAGCCACCTACAATGGCGCTTGCTACTACTTGGATGTGTTCAGCGTACACTTGTTGAAACAACACTTCCGGCAGGAACAGAAAATTAAAGCCGACAACTTTGATAAGGCGTGATATGTTTGTGGATGACTGCTCAATCCGTCTGCTCTTCATGTCTGAGTGACCTTGAACTTTAGAAGTCCTGTTCTCTCAGCAAGCGGACTGTTAGTTCCGGGGATGTGATTTTGATGAAGACATTTTATCTATGAGATTATACCAGTGTGTTATTCACTGATGAACTGAAAGAAAGTTTGCAAGGGTGACAGTGAAAGTAGAGTTACTTGTTCCAGGCCTGTGAACTAAGAAAATGATCTTGTTTGGAATAGAGTCAAGTTCTGGAGACAAGTTATTTATTGCTGTTTGTCAGCACCAAACTGTGACTGGAGACCCCTAATATCTTTCTGACAACAAATTGGGTTCATTTTGACAAGATATGGCCGTGGGACACAGAACCTGGTTCCGATATTTTGTATGAACAGTTGCACCCAAACTATAGAGGATGATTTCAGAGGTACCAGGAATACATGTATATGTTATGTTAAGTAATATTTTATTGAAGTTCAAGCCTTGGCTTAACATACCACAAAATCAGAAAATGTTAAATGCCTAGCATCAGATTTAAGTTAAATGAACATTTGTGAAGGAATAGGCAACTTAAAACAATTTTAATAAAATTCAGCAAAAAAATGAAGTCATTAGGCATCTCTGTTAGATGGGAATTTGACACACAATGAAAATTATTCACAGTGATACAACATGTCTGTTTAAAGTGATACAGTGAGATGACCATGTTGTGACACGTGAGACATGTTATATATAGGATGAAACTGTCTCATTAAAGTACAGATTCTAGTACTTTTGTTGGGTTGGGTGGGTCCCGTGGTGGCTGAGTGGGCTAGATGGCTGACTTTGTGTACTGGCAATTAGTGTGTGGGTGTGGGTTCGAATCCCGGATGGGACTCAACCCAACAAAAGTACTAGAATCTGTACAATACTGAGAAAGTGTTATCCCAAATATAACATGTCTTACATTAGACCACTTTCTAAATGGCATTGTGAATTCATGTTGTGACATGTTTTGGAACATGTCCTAAATTTTAATTCAATTTGTGGCCTAAATATTACCTTATTACCTCATCCATCATGTTTACTGGCTGAGTGCCACATACCACCCCGAGTTGGATATAATGAAAATGTTTTAAAGTTCATCTTCGCACATGTCAATATTCGACCCAAATGTAAAGATCTGGGTTAGAATTGATATTCAGTAACCCATGTTTGTCATATATAGACACGACAAATCGGGATCGGATGGTCAGGTTTGCTGATTTGGTTGACATATGTCATCATATCACAATTGTGTAGATTGATGCTCATGCTGTTGATCACAGAATTGTCTGGTCCAGACTCGATTATTTACAGACCGCCGCCATATAGCTGGAGTATTGCTGTGTGCAGCGTAAAACTAAACTCATTCATTCGACCCAAATGTATGATACCATGCTGGAACAGGAAGAAAGTGTTGAAGACAACTGATATTATCATGATGTTACCTGTATTTTGAAATAACGAAGTCCATCCTAAATGTTCTTGTGGTATCAAATATATCCTCAGTGCCCAATATTCTTCCAACACTGAAATTGCTCCACATTTTTATTTTACAGCAAAATTATGTATTTGAGTCATATAATTTATAATAATTTTGACAAACTTTTTGTGATTTTGCTGAAATTGTGTATTGTTTTCATAAACCCTTATCATCATGCTCCTGTTTGTAAACCTCTCAGAGTTTTAATGTATGCAAGTGTAGTATGAATCTGAGCAGATCTTGCACTTGCACTTCATGCTCAGTACAAGGGGAGTGGTCAGTTTACAATGCTACTGGAAGACTGTCCCTACAGTGACCGAGTAATAATACACTGGAGTCATTTCCTACACTCACACAACATTTTATGAAATTATAATCAAATGATTTGAAAATGTAATAAAACAAATGAATGCTGACTGCTTCATCTTTGGGTTATAAAAGCATAAAAAGATATAACTGAAGAAATCATTCAAAATAATAACAATTACCATCCTGAATAATAATGATCATGGGAAATACTTACTGTCTCTAAGTAATATAATTTTCCTTAAAATATCAGTCTTCAAATCCGTATACATACTACTGTAACAATGTGGTTCACTCTCCACTGAAATTAGGATAAGCACAGTTTGTGACTTTAGCTTTTGACCAAAGCTCGAGGCTAGTAAAATTCTGATTGGTCCAATAAGCTCTGGCGTTAGTACACCACTATGATGATAACACTAAATTCTATGGAAACGATTCTTAGTACCATAGGCTAATAGACTCAGATTATTTTGCATACACTCTGAACGTTTTCTTTTTTAGCTGAACCAACCAGTCTAGACGCATTCATCATAAACATTCTGACTAATATAAACCACAATTCAATTTCCAGTTCAATTTCAAATGTCCCCAACTAAATTGGTTTAAAATCCTTAAACCATGAAAATAGAACATGCTGAACAGGAGGATCTAAGGGAACTTAACAGTTGGCCTTTCCATGACTGTATTTGACTTAGGTTGCCCTTCCATTATTGATTATTGGTATTGGTAGTTCAGTATATATGTGACAGACCTGTGAAGACCCGGGTTAAAATTGTCTTCAGCGACCCATGCTTGTCGTAAGAGGCGACTAAAGGGATTGGGTGGTCAGGCTTGCTGACTTGGTTGACACATGTCATCATATCTTAATTACATAGATCAGTGCTCATGCTGTTGATCACTTGATTGTCTAATGGTGCCTTTAACACTGTTCCAGTTTGATTGTAGTGTGTCAGTTTAATGTTGGAAGAGAGCCCAACTGATGCTAGTCTCGGATGTTTACCACTTTGATGAAACCCATCAGTGAGTGAGTTTAGTTTGACGCCGCTTTTAGCAATATTCCAGCAATATCACGTTGTACCCATGTGGGGAATCGAACCCGGGTCTTCTGCGTGACGAGTGGACGCTTTACCCACTAGGCTACCTCACCGCTCCTGAAACCCATCGGCATGGCTATGGTGCTGATGAACCTGGAGACACAGGTTAAACAGGATTCAGACCCACAGGTATAGGTTTCTGGCTTGCCCAGCAGATTTGATCTTATTTAATGTTAACGTGAAAAATATTATGACTTGTGTATGATGTTTGTGTGTTGTGAGGCCTAAGACTATATCTAATGTAGTGGTACAGGTTGTTGATGCAATGTGTGTAAGATATGTCCTGTGTGAGATATGTTGTGCAATAAGAATTATACGAAATGTGTCCTAACATTCCAATAGTATGTATTATTCCTTCTTGACCTTATGAATCTTGAAGATCTGGGTTAAAATTGGGCTTCAGTAACCCATGCTTGTTGTTAGAGGCGACTAACGGGGTCGGGTGGTCAGGCTCGCTGGCTTGGTTGGCGCATGTCATTATATCTCAACTGTGTAGATCAATGCTCATGATGTTGATCACTGGATTGTCTAGTCCATATTCGATTATTTACAGATATATAGCTGGAGAATTGCTGAGTGTGGCATTACATTCAAGCCAAACCAAAACTTGACCTTACATAGGTGTTGGATCTTTCAAACCCTAATGAATACTCCTGTTGATGGTTGTAGTGAATGAGTTTGTTCTCACTTTGAGGACTCATTTTCATGAGACCTTGATGTGAAAGATGAAATTGTCTTTCATGTTCATTTTACAATTTTTTGTCTCTGTTGTGGAAGATAATGTATTTCTTACATGCAGTTTCATCCTGGCAAATTGAACAGATTTTACAGGCAAGGACCTCATTACTAAATGATAAGCTACAAATGGAAAAAAAAAATTTGTTACCATGGTTACAGGAATGTATGGTGTCAAGATGGTGTTTCATTCTCATCTATAGCCTCACCACTATAGAATAAGCAGCAAACAAAATATTAAATGAGTTACCATGGTTACAGGAATGTATGGTGTCAAGATGGTGTTTCATTCTCACCTATAGCCTCACCACTATAGAATAAGCAGCAAACAAAATATTAAATCAGTTACCATGGTTACAGGAATGTATCATGGTTGCATGGTGTCAAGATGGTGTTTCATTCTCATCTATAGCCTCACCACTATAGAATAAGCAGCAAACAAAATATTAAATGAGTTACCATGGTTACAGGAATGAATGGTGTCAAGATGGTGTTTCATTCTCACCTATAGCCTCACCACTATAGAATAAGCAGCAAACAAAATATTAAATCGGTTACCATCATTACAGCAATCTCGTTCAAGCCAATCACAGTTCTCGCTACTGCTAAACAAAGATATCAGGACATGACATTATGTGTCACATCAGAATGACCTTCCATACAACCTGTCAGAGTTTTGCTTACATGAGGTGTGTATTTTCTAATCAAGCATCCTCTAAAAGTTAACATGGGGGTTTCCTGATGACATTTCTGGGCCATACGATTATCCGACAAACATGACTTGTAATTGGATGTCCTCTGATGTTTGTTTAGTAGTAGAGAGAACTAAGATTTGATCTTAATGATGTTGCAGTTACAGGAAAGCATTTTAGCACTTATTTCAAGGACAGAATTTATATTTTAATGTGATGCCTGATTATTGTGACCACTATATTGAGTGTTTTTTACACTGAAGTCACTGACTCTTATAGTAACGTCTCAGATTGGAACAGAGAAGTGATGCTAGAATTGGGAATAAATTATGAATAATTTAGTATTTGTTATAGCAGTTTATAAAATAGTTTTGAAATGTGGCCTGTCCAAGGACTGGCTGTCCAAAAAAGTGACCTGTCCTGAACAAACACAGCCAGTCCCCAAAACTAAAACTCTTCATTCAAACCAAGTTTATTCTTTCAAATATTTCCATCGACCAAAGAACGACCTTACTTATTTGAGAGACTGTTCTTCAGAAAAACAGACCGTCAAGGACGATGGGACGGGCTATATTTTATACACTGGTTACAGTATATGCTGACAGTGCCTTTGACAAAATAATATATTTTATTATGGTTTTATTATGACCATGAGTTTTTTCTTTTCTCATGGAAATATGTACAAGTTCTGAAGATCATTACAATGTTTATACTGTAGGGCCTATCAGAGTTATCTTTATATGTTCCACAGTGACCATTGTGTATTTAGAGATTGTTATATGAACATGACTATGTCATGCTGGTTTTTACAAAACTAGTGTCAGAATGCTTTTTTTTCTGGAACGAGAACAAGATAATACATGACGTATTACACATAAAACTATGGCATTAGAAAGTGTCATCATTCCGTAATCATTCATTCATGATCATTGTAGAAAACCAAATCACAAGTTATAATGTATCTGTGAGCTCATGCCAACCTTTCATCATGATATGATTCAAATGATGTCAACGACGCACACTTTTTTTTTTTCTAACCCCATAGCTAATAAATATTGTTATGACACTGAACATTAACCAGTACAAAAAAAAATACATAATGTGTTTAGGGTAAAGACGGGTTGTCGTCATCAAGTATCTCTGTAATGCAAAAATTATATTTGTTTCTGTTTCTGTAAATGTTTAGTTTGTAATTAATGTCATACGTGTATTGTATATACAAATAAACATATATAGTACCATGTGATATTAGGTCATTTTTAAAACTGCAGGTAAACAGTTCATAATAAATACATGTATTTATCGCACATTATTTTGTTATACACAAATATACTCATGCCAATAATGGTTGTCACCCCCTTCAATTTTTTTAATTGGAGAGTGTGAAGTGTCATGTTGCTGAAACACTGTCACACAGTGTGAAGTGTCATGTTGCTGAAGCACTGTCACACACATAGTGTGAAGTGTCATGTAGTGTGAAGTGTGAAACATGTTGTGTGAAGTATCATGTTGCTGAATCACTATCACATACACAGTGTGAAGTGTGATGTTGCTGTAGCACTGTCACACACATAGTGTCATGTTGCTGAAGCACTATCACATACATAGTGTGCCGTGTCATGTTGCTGAAACACTGTCACACACATAGTGTGAAGTGTCATGTCGCTGAAACACTGTCACACACATTGTGTGAAGTGTCATGTTGCTGAAACACTGTCACACAGTGTGAAGTGTCATGTTGCTGAAGCACTCACACAGTGTGAAGTGTCATGTTGCTGAAGCACTACTCACACACAGTGTGAAGTGTCATGTTGCTGAAACACTGTCACACAGTGTCATGTTGCTGAAACACTGTCACAGTGTGGAGTTTCATGTTGCTGAAGCACTATCACATACACAGTGTGAAGTGTCATGTTGCTGAAACACTCACACTGTGTGAAGTGTCATGTTGCTGAAACACTCACACAGTGTGAAGTGTCATGTTGCTGAAGCACTGTCACATATATAGTGTGAAGTGTCATGTTGCTGAAACACTGTCACACATGTAAAGTGTCATGTTGCTGAAACACTGTCACACACATAGTGTGAAGTGTCATGTTGCTGAAGCACTGTCACAGCAATTGTGTGAAGTGTCATGTTGCTGAAGCACTATCACATACACAGTGTGAAGTGTCATGTTGCTGAAATACTGTCACACACATAGTGTGAAGTGTCATGTTGCTGAAACACTGTCACACAGTGTGAAGTGTCATGTTGCTGAAACACTGTCACACAGTGTGAAGTGTCATGCTGCTGAAGCACTATCACAGACACAGTGTGAAGTGTCATGTTGCTGAAAATACTGTCACACATTGTGTGAAGTGTCATGTCGCTGAAACACTGTCACACATAGTGTGAAGTGTCATGTTGCTGAAGCACTGTCACACACATAGTGTGAAGTGTCATGTCGCTGAAACACTGTCACACACAGTGTGAAGTGTCATGTTGCTGAAGCACTGTCACACACACTGTGTGTGAAGTGTCATGTTGCTGAAACACTGTCACACATTACACGTGTGAAGTGTCATGTTGCTTAGCTGAAGCACTATCACATACACACATAGTGTGAAGTGTCATGTTGCTGAAATACTGTCACACACAGTGTGAAGTGTCATGATGAAGTAATCATGTTGCTGAAACACTGTCACACATAGTGTGAAGTGTCATGTTGCTGAAGCACTGTCACACACATAGTGTGAAGTGTCATGTCGCTGAAACACTGTCACACACAGTGTGAAGTGTCATGTTGCTGTAGCACTGTCACACACATAGTGTCATGTTGCTGTAACACTATCACATCCATAGTGTGAAGTGTCATGTCGCTGAAACACTGACACACATTGTGTGAAGTGTCATGATGCTGAAGCACTATCACATACATAGTGTGAAGTGTCATGTCGCTGAAGCACTGTCACACATAGTGTGAAGTGTCATGTCGCTGAAGCACTGTCACACATAGTGTGAAGTGTCATGTTGCTGAAGCACTGTCATACACATAGTGTGAAGTGTCTTGTTATGTAAAGCATCAGTGTGTGTATACAATGTGAATCATCATGTTATGTGAAGCATCACATATTATTTGAATCATTATGAAGTGCATTTTTAAAGATATGTGTTAGTTAGCATTTCAAGTTCACTATTAAAATAGCTGCTACATTTAAAGTGCTTTGGAACCTGCTTTGCTATAGAAGTTTCCATTTGTCAGAGATATGCTTAATGTGACATATATCTCATATCGCAACTTGTGTATGGAGTGACCACTCTTGCGTTGTATTGACCAGAGTTGCATGTTTAAACCAAAGTAGAGGAAATCAGTGTTTGTTCCATATTGTCTTGGTTATAAGGGTACCTCAGGAATATCATGTTGTTCCTCTGTCGTGTTGCTGTTACAATACATGCTATATTTATGCCTTCAGAATAAAATGTTTGAATAACTCATTGGTGTGCCATATCTCTTCTCACAGAACGGGATCAGGTGGTCAGGCTCGCTGACTTGGATAACACATACCATCGGTTCCCAATTGTGCAGATTGATGCTCATGCTGTTGATTACTGGATTGTCTGGTCCAGACTCGATTATTTACAGACTGCCGCCATATAGAGCTGGAATTTTGCTGAGTGCAGTGTAAAACTAAACTCACTCACTCACTCTCACAGAACATTTTTGCTTCAGTACAAAAACTTGTTGGTGTACCCTGTGAATTGGTCCATTTCATCCTGTGCCTGAAAAGATGGGATATTGTTCATTATATCAACCACTGGTTTGTTTAGTCCAGGATCATTTCTTTACGAGCTTCCATATGTAGGTTCCAAATTTGCATATTGATGAATAAAACAGTGAAAGGAACCTTGTTGTGTGACTGTTCTCCACTTGGATGGTTCCATGGTAACAGACCTTTGTTATAAGTATGGATTTATTGCCATTTGGATGGATGCCATAGCAACAGAACTCTGTTACATGTGCAGATATATCTCCACTTGGATGGGTGCCATGGTAGCAGAACTGTGTTACATGTGCAGATATATCTCCACTTGGATGGGTGCCATGGTAGCAGAGCTCTGTTATATGAGTAGACATATCTCCACTCGGATAGGTGCCATGGTAACAGAGCTCTGTTATATGAGTAGACATATCTCCACTCGGATAGGTGCCAAGGTAACAGAACTGTGTTACATGTGCAGATATATCTCCACTTGGATAGGTGCCAAGGTAACAGAACTCTGTTATATGAGCAGACATATCTCCACTTGGATGGGTGCCGTGGTAGCAGAGCTCTGTTATATGAGCAGACATATCTCCACTTGGATGGGTGCCGTGGTAGCAGAACTCTGTTATATGAGCAGACATATCTCCACTTGGATGGGTGCCGTGGTAGCAGAACTCTGTTATATGAGCAGACATATCTCCACTTGGATGGATGCCGGTAGCAGAACTCTGTTATATGAGCAGATATCTCAACTCTGTTATATGAGCAGACATATCTCCACTTGGATGGGTGCCGTGGTAGCAGAACTCTGTTATATGAGCAGACATATCTCCACTTGGATGGGTGCCGTGGTAGCAGAACTCTGTTATATGAGCAGACATATCTCCACTTGGATGGGTGCCATGGTAACAGAACTCTGTTATATGAGCAGACATATCTCCGCTCGGATGGGTGCCATGGTAACAGAACTCTGTTATATGAGTAGACATATCTCCACTTGGATGGGTGCCATGGTAACAGAACTCTGTTATATGAGTAGACATATCTCTACTTGGATGGGTGCCATAGGTAACAGAACTCTGTTATATGTGCAGATTTATCTCCACTTGGATGGGTGCCATAGTAACAGAACTCTGTTATATGTGCAGATTTATCTCCCCTTGGATAGGTGCCGTAAGTAAAAGAACTCTGTTATAAGTAGAGATTTATCTCCACCTGGACTGGTTCCATGGTGACAGAACCACGTACGCTGCAAGTGAAGATATGTAACAAAACTGTTAAACATGTGAGCATATGTGACAGGACTGTGTTACATGACAGATTTATTTCCATCTTCACTGGTTCCATAGTAAGGGCAGCATTTATAGTTTCTGTGTTTCCCATCACCCGACCGACCCTTCTAATTTTATTGTCATGTAAAATGTTTATCTTTTAATCAGTCACTGCCACAAGTCCAAAGAACTCGAGAAATTGTAATAAGAATTACAATAAATGAGAATCAAGAACATTATTCTGCTAATATTGTATTGGGGTGGGGTGTCCAGACCGATCGACCAATGTTCAGAATTTGGTGGCTACGTGCAGAATTCAATAACTACCAAAAATCGAGATGACCACTGTGTTCAGTGACTGACTTAGATTCCTCTGGGGTCCGATGTGTGGATCAAAGTACTGCATCGAGAACAGAGTCAAAGTCCACGGTGGCCATGTGTTCGTGTTTGTAAACACTCCGCTCAACCCGCTCGACACATGTATGACATATATAACTACAGGTGACACACAAATCAAAGATCAAGACATGAAGTTCAGAGTCTGGTCCAAGTCAGTACACAATCACACATGCTTGACCTCATGCTTGGTACTAATTAGGTTGATGTGAGGACACTCCAAGTCCAGTTAATGCTTTATAGACTTAAGCTTTATTTTATTAAATAATATATATATATATATTTTGCGTTGTCTACTTATAAATTGTATTTGACAAGAGTTTGCGGTAGAGTTGCTCAGTGTAGTAAAATGGAGAAACAAATACTGTATAAAATGTAGATTTCAGAAGTTCAGTAATCTTGATTTAATGAGTACACCCATTCTTCATTATGTTAAGGTGCCTATGTTAAACCTTTTTATGGTTTAGTGCAGAATGTGAGTGACTCAGAATGTAAATGAGTGTCTATGTGAGTGTTAAATTTCATATTGGAGTCTATAACATTTTCATACCTTTAATGGGTAGAATCTTCTTTTAAAAATGTGTATCTTTGGTTATATGATTTGGGCCAAGCACTACCCCGGGTGTCTGGTTTGGTATGTAACAGGGACTCAGAAATAAAGAAATAAAATACTAATTACAAAAAACAAAATGTAGGATGTTCACTCATATGTATATCACAACATCTTGACATCAATGATACTCTCAGATCACTAATGCAGGTTTCATGTGGCTACAGGCTATTTGCACAATATATTTAATCAATTATTATAAAAGAAGTTAATAATTT